AAGAAGAGGTCTCGCTGCCCAGGCGGGTCTCGAACCCGCGGGCTCAGGCCATCCACTCACCTCAGCCTCCCAGAGGCGCGGGATGACAGACTGAGCCACCGAGCCCGGCTTCTCTCTCTTGTTTTTTGTTTGGATTTTTTTTTTTAACCACAGCTTTCCACTTCTTGACTTCCCTTGGTTTTGTTTTTGAGTTGGAGTCTCACTCTGTCACCCAGACTGGAGTGCAGTGGCACGCTGATGGCCACTGCAGCCTCAACCTGCTGAGCTCAGGTGATCTTTCCACCTCAGCCTTCCAAGTTGCTGGAACTACAGGCATGCGCCACCATGCCTGGCTGATTTTTTGATTTATTGTAGAGATGAGGTCTCGTCAAGTTGCCCAAATCTGTGGGTTCAGGCAGTCCTCTCACCTCAGCCTTCCAAAGCGCTAGGATTATAGGTGAGACCCACTGCGTGCAGCCCCTCTTCTGGTTTTCTAGAGAGGCTGCCTAGGATTCAGGTCTTCTCATTCCCCACCTAAACTCTTTCTAATACGTCCTCTTACTCATCTTGAGATATATCTGTAAATGATCACAGTGTCCTGTTACTTTCCTTGAAAGTACCTCATTTCCTTCCTTCTTCAGGCACTGTGACCACTGAGATGTTCATGAAGATGTCCAACTCAGAGATCATCCGGCACCTGACAGAACAGTTTAATGAGGTGGAGGAAGACGATCGGGACCCTCTTGCCCCTGTTACTTCGAAACGCAAGACCTAGTACCCTCTTCCTGCTGATTCTGGGAAAGGGGGTCGTTTTTAGGAGGAGGAGTTCAATCTCTTGGGGGTAAAAGGGACTCATAGATACTATATTAGATATCTAAATAATGTGCTTCTAGAGTTGATGAGAATAATAGGAAATGAGGCATAATGAGACACAATTTTTTTGAGTTGGAGTCTCTTTCTGTCGCCCAGGCTGGAGTGCAGTGGCATGCTTACGGCCACCCCAGCATCGACCTGCTGGGCTCCGGAGATCCTTCTGCCTCAGTCTTTCAAGTAGCCGAAATTACAGGCATGCTACCACGCCTGGCTGATTTTTGATTTACTGTAGAGATGAAGTCTCGCCAAGTTGCCTGGGTTGGTCTCGAACCCACGGGCTCAGGCAGTTCACTCGCCTCGGCTTCCCAAAGTGCTGGGATTACAGGCTGAGCCACTGAGCCTGGCCAGTAAGACACATTTTTACGATACTTTTAGATTTTGACTTTCAAGCTCCTGTGGCTTCGTGGACCTGGTAATAACGCTCCCATCCTTTCATAAACCCTTCTGTAGGACTCAGGGGATTATCCATTGACAGCTCCGGGTTCATCCTGGAAGAAGTTTCGGGGCAGCTTCTGTGAGTTTGTGAAGACGTTGGTCTATCAGTGCCAGTACAGCCTCCTCTACGATGGCTTCCCTATGGACAACCTCATCTCCCTGCTCACTGGCTTCTCAGACTCGCAAGTCCGTGCCTTCCGTCACACTAGCACCCTGGCTGGTGAGTGCTCACTTTTACTCTGTGGATGTCTCTTGGGGGTCGGTAAGGTTTTTCTCCTGCTTCTGAATCTTCTTTCCTACCTGCATCTTAGCTCTTTACTTCAGGGTCATGCTTTTTTTTTAATCCCAAACTTCAATCCAGTTACTCATTTTTCAGAAGAAAGAGTTCACAGTAATGATTTCCAGCCTTCATATTTTTCTCAGCGCTCACCACGGGAACAAATTGAGGGATAAGGAAGGCCAGAAGAGTTAGAGGGGAAAAGTCCACTAAAGGATAGCCAGTCTTAGGATCTTAGGGTCACTCTACTCCGGTTTCTCATTTTCACTATCCTCCTACGCATCCTGCCCTCTATGACTTAAGTAATGTTTTTTTAATTACGTTTTTCTGACTGAAAGCCATGAAACTGATGACATCCCTGGTAGGAGTTGCCCTCCAGCTGAGTCTGCACAGAGACAACAATCAACGTCAGTATGAGGCTGAACGAAACAAGGGGCCAGGGCAGAGAGCACCTGAGCGGCTAGAGAGCCTGCTGGAGAAACGCAGAGAGGTGAGGCGTGTTCCCTGCTTCTTCCCTCTCTCTCTCCCCAGCACTGCTGCCACTGACCCCCTTGTCATGTTTTGGGAAGCTTCTCTGATCATGGATAATGGGATAATGAGTAATGGAATCTGGCAATAGTGTCATCACCCTATACTGTCAGAGATCATTGCACATGCATCTTGTTTCTGGGTTGTGGGCTCAGTAGGTCATGTGTGATCTAGACTTCTCTCTAATTCCACTTCTGCTCCGTTCCCCTTGGTAAGCATTCATTATCAGAAGAGTTTAAGTGCTGTACCTGCCTGTTATGCAAGGCATTAAGCTTTGACCTTCTGGTCAGGTGTGCAGTGTGCAAGTGATCCTGGTGGTACTGAGGGCCAGCAACTGACAAAGGAGGCCAAGACTGTAAGGAATGGAAAGAGCACAGGCCTTCTGGTGACTCCTAGGTTTAACTTTTGTTCCGTGTGCCCTGGCCTACGTAGCCTCTCCAAGTTTCAGTTTCCTTTCCTTTAAAAAGGGGATGGACTAGGTGTGGTGTATTACGCTTGTGATCCTAGCACTTTGGGAGGCCAAGGCAGGAGGAGCACTTGAAACCTGGACAACATAGTAAGTTTTACATAAATAAGTTCATCCAGTTTTACATAAATAAGTTCATCCTTATTTACATAAAAAAAAAAATACGGCCGGGCTCGGTGGCTCAGCCTGTAATCCCAGCACTTTGGGAGGCCAAGGCAAGTGGATTGCCTGAGCCCATGGGTTCGAGACCTACCCGGGCAACTTGGCAAGACCTCATCTCTACAATAAATCAAAAATTAGCCTGGCGTGGTAGCGCACGCCTGTAGTTCCAGCTCCTTGGAAGGCTGAGGCAGAAGGACCGCCGGAGCCCAGCAGGTCAAGGCTGTGGTGGCCGGGAGTGTACCACTGCACACCAGTCTGGGCGACAGAGTGAGACTCCAACTCAAAAAAGACCCAAAATCAAAAATAAATAAAAGGGGGATAAGTCCACGTTTACGTGAAGATTAAATGAGAGGAGTAGATTGCCTAGCCTTGGCACATAGTAGGCATTTGCTTTGTTTCCTTTTAAACTTAAAGACAATGACTGGAGGGCATAAGCTGTAGCAAAATCTTTTATACTGATTAAACCTTCAAACAGCTGAGTCTATCATAAGACTAACACTGATGTTTCTCCTCACTCTTCATTAGTATATAAGACCCATCCCATGATATTGGCAGGCTCAGCATTCTAATTTTACCATTTGACTGTTTCTGTAGCCCTCACAAAAGATCTTTCAGGCTGGGCTCAGCCTGCAATCCCAGCACTTTGGGAGACTGAGGCAAGTGGATTGCCTGAGCTCAAGGGTTCAAGACCAGCCCGGGCAACTTGGCGAGACCTTGTGTCTACAATACATACATAAATAATTAGCTGGACGTGGTAGCGCACACCTGTAGTTCTGGCTACTTGGAAGGCTGAGGTGAAAGGATCACCGGCGCCCAGCAGGTCGACGCTGGGGTGGCCGTGAGCATACCACTGCACTTCAGCCTGAGCGATAGAGTGAGACTCCAACTCAAAAGAAAAAAGAAATAGGTCTTTCATTCTAAAGCATAAGAGAAGGAAACTTTCTATTCCCTCAGTCTCTTTTGCAATTTTTCATTGTTAGGTTGATCTTGAAAGCTTATTCATATTAATAGGCTTGTTTTAGATATTTAATTATAAATACTAGTGTGAATCTCTTGTGGGGGGCTTCTCTAGGCTCTTGTTTCATCAATTATTTCCCTATTTTATCTTTGCTTTCTCTCTCCCCACTATTTTCTTGTCTCTACTTATAAATGGGTATAGGCCCTTGAATCTTCATTTCACTCTGCTTGTCTTTGAGTTACTCTGTGTCTATCCTTCCTTTTAGGATAGTATTCCTTTACTTCCTTTTTTTTGTTCGTTTGTTTTTGTGTGGTTTTTTTTGAGTTGGAGTCTCACTCTGTCGCCCAGACTGGAGTGCAATGGCCGCTCCCGGCCACCGCAGCCTCAACCTGCTGGGCTCCGGCAATCCTTCTGCCTCAGCCTTCCAAGTAGCTGGAATTACAGGCGTGCACTACCATGCCTGGCTAATTTTTTGATTTCCTGTAGAGATGAGGTCTCGCCTGCCCAGGCAGGTCTCGAACCCGCGGGCTCAGGCAGTCCACTCACCTCAGCGTCCCAAAGGCGTGAGATTACAGGCTGAGCCACCAAGCCTGGCTCCCTTACTTCCTTAATGTCCAACTGATTGAATTCTTTTTGCTACTAGCTTCTATCCCATTTTTTTTGAAGCTGTATTTCCAAACCACTAACTTCTTGATTCCTAAGGTCAGTGGCTTTTTTTCAATCTCCCTTCCATTTTACAGAATTTGGTACAGATGACTTACCTTCTCCCCTTCCCTCACTTCTTCTTTAAATGTGAAAATTTTCAAATATTGAAAAAAGTGGAGGTACCAGTGTGATGAATGGAGGAGAACCTCCAAAAAAGACAATTATTTTTTGCAGAGCGGGCCCCTTGTACCATACGCTTCCCCTGCTAGATAAGTGTTCTAGGAACTCACTGACAGCAAGGTCTAGCCAGTGTTGTTGTGAGGGGCTGCCTTTGACTTCAGTGAATTTTTTTGGAGATCCTTCCAGAGTGTTTGCCCATCCTGTGAGGGGCGATTTATGAGCACACTTGCCCACGCCACGCTGAGCAGTTCCTGACCAGAAGTGGCATGACCTCTGTGCCCCGCTCTCCCTGCTCACCCCGCCTCCCCTTGAGCGGCTGGCTTGTTTGTTTCCCTCCCTGGACGAAAAGCGTTCTCAAAGGGAAATGCTCTGCTTGTTTGGAATAGGTGAGGCCAAAACCAGCAGAAGCACTCAAAGGCCTCAAAATTAACAAGGTCAAGGACTCTTTTGAGCAGTGGAAAAAGCATTTTGACAGGGATGTTGCCTCAGATTGCCTCGGAGAGTCCTCTGAAGGTGACTGAAGTTTAAACATGTAAGAATAAATACACGACTTTTTATAAATACATTCTGGGTTTTGGGGTCCCCCTCCTTTATCTAGATTTAACAGCCAATATTTTACATATTTACGTCTTTTTTGCTATTTTATAGTAAATTATGGACATATTGGTACTCCAATTCTAAAGACTTAATTATGTTTTCTAGAAAGTGATGTGTTCCTACATAATCCCAGTATCATTTTTACATCCAGAAAAATGAACAATGATTCCCTAAACGTTTTCTAATTCTGGTTCCTATTTCCCCATTTGTCTCCCAAATACCTTTTATATGTGATTAATTCCTACCAGGATCCAATTAAGGACCCTGCGTTGTTGCCGTTCTTGTCTCCTTAATATTGTGCAGAACATCTGCCTCCACAATATGCTGACTTACTGAAGAGGTGGGGTCAGTTATTTTAAAGAATGTGTGCTTTCTCCTTATAATTCTGCTCTCTTGGTATTTATTCATGTAATCTAGGGTTCCTCAACAATGACACTATGAACATTGAAGGGTTGTCCTGGTATTATAGGATGTCTAGCAGCCTTCCTGGCCTCTATTAGATCCTAGTAGTTCCCTGTCCCCCCTCACCAAGTTGTGACAACCCAAAATATCTTTGGACATTGCTAAATCTCCCCCAGGCACAAAACTGCCCCCAGTTGAGAACCACTGATCTAATTGTTTCTTCTCATTTTTATTAGTCCTACTCCTTCTATTAAGCAAACCGTGTTTATTAAAAATTTGTTTTCCCAACTGTTAGTAAAAAAAAATATAGGCATCGTACCTCAGAAATACTGTGGGTTTGGTTCTAGACCACTACAGTAAAGCAAATGTTGAAGTACAGTTAGTCACACAAATATTTTTGGTTTCCTGCAATAAAAATTATACTTGTACTATCTGTAGTCTATTAAGTTTACAGTAGCCTTATGTGTAAAAAATAATGTATATACCTTAATTTTAAGATACTTTATTGCTAAAAAATATTAATGGTCATCTGAACCTTTAGTGAGTTATAATCTTTTGGCTGGTGGAGTCTTGCCTCATTGTGCATGGCTGCTGACTGATTAGAATGGTGGCTGCTGAAGTTTAGGGCGGCTGTAGCAGTTTCTTAAATAAGACAACAGTGAAGTTTGCCATATCTGTTGACTCTTCCTTTCCTAAAAGATTTCTCTGGGCCGGGCTCGGTGGCTCAGCCTGTAATCCCACGCCTCTGGGAGGCTGAGGTGAGTGGATGGCCTGAGCCCGAGGATTCGAGACCCACCTGGGCAGCGAGACCTCATCTCTACAATAAATCAAAAAATCAGCCGGGCGTGGTAGCGCGCACCTGTAATTCCGGCTACTTGGAAGGCTGAGGCGGAAGGATCGCCAGAGCCCAGCAGATCGAGGCTGCGGTGGCCAGGAGCAGCCACTGCACTCCAGTCTGGGTGACCGAGTGAGACTCCAACTCAAAAAAAAAAGAAAAAGAAAAAAAAAAAAATTTCTCTGCGCGCAACCCCCTTGGGTCCCCTCCTACTCTGGGAGCTTTTCTGTCTTCTCAATAAATCCTGCTTTCTAAAAAAAAGAAAGGTTTCTCTGTAGCGTGCAATGCCGTTTGATAACGTTTTACCCACAGAACGTCTTTCAAAACTGGCGTAAGTCCTCAAATCCTGCCCCTGTTTTGGCAACTCGGTTTATGTAATACTCTAAATCCTTTGTTGTCATTTCACACCATCATCTTTACTAAGAGATTTTATCTTACGAGTCCACTTTTTTTGCTCACCCATTAAGAAGTAGCTCCTTATTCGTTTAAATTTTATCGTGAAATTACAGCAGTTCAGTCACATTTTCAGTCTCCACTTCTAATTCGAGTTATCTTGCTGTTCCCTCCACATTTGCAGTTACTTCCTCCACAGAAGTCTTGAACCCCTCAAGGTTATCCATGAGGATTGGAATCAACTTCTTCAAACTTCTGTTAATGTTGATATTTTGACCTCCCATGAATCACAAATTTTTGGGGGGTTTTTTTTTGAGTTGGAGTCTCACTCTGTTACCCAGACTGGAGTGCAGTGGCCGCTCCCAGCCACTGCAGCCTCACCTGCTGGGCTCCAGCGATCCTTCCACCTCAGCCTTCCAAGTAGCTGGAACTACAGGCGCACGCTACCACACCCGGCTAATTTTTTTGATTTACTGTAGAGATGAGGTCTCGCCAAGTTGCCCAGGTGGGTCTCGAACCCATGGGCTTAGGCAGTCCACTCACCTCAGCCTCCCAAAGCGTGGGATTACAGGCTGAGCCACCGAGCCCAGCCCACAAATGTTTTTTAATGGTATCTACAATGATGAAGCCTTTCCAGAAGGTTCTAAGTTGACTTTTCTCAGATTCATCAGAAGAATCACTATCTATGGCAGCTATAGCCTTTATGAAATGTATTTCTTAAATAATTGACTTGAAAGTTGAAATTACTCCTTGATTCATGGGCTGCAGAATGGATGTGTTAGCAGGCGTGAAAACATTCATCTCTTTATATATCTTCATCAGAGTTCTTGAGTGACCAGGTACATTGTCGTTGAGCAGTAGTATTGATATATATATATATATTTTTTTTTTTTTTTTTTTTTTTTGAGCTGGAGTCTCACTCTGTCGCCCAGACTGGAGTGCAGTGGCCGCTCCTGGCCACCGCAGCCTCGACCTGCTGGGCTCTGGTAATCCTTCCGCCTCAGCCTTCCAAGTAGCTGGAACTACAGGCGCGTGCTACCACGTCCGGCTCATTTTGGTTTATTGTAGAGATGAAGTCTCACTGCCCAGGCAGGTCTTGAACCCGTGGGCTCAGGCAGTCCACTCACCTCAGCCTCCCAAAGGCACGGGATTACAGGCTGAGCCACCGAGCCCGGCTTGATATATTTTTTAATTTGGATAAAATTGTTTATTTGCAAGGCACATTAGAAAAGAAGGGACCAAAAACCTTGCAGAAACAATGAGATACATTCTTTAACTGGCATACAGAGGTATCTAAAAAATTAAATAAATCAAAATTTGCTTTCCTAATTTTATTTATTTATTTATTTTTATAAAAGGCAGATGAAAATCTTAAACAACAATTGAGGACATAATGAAAGAGGACAGTACCCTGACTGAACTAACCCCAGTTGCTCTTTCTGTCCCTCTTTATTTCAATACTTTGAGCCCATTAACCTTTTTTACGATTATTTTTCATTCTTGGGATAATGCAAAAGGGGAAGTTAGTAGGGAATAAATTTTTTTGCAGGTTCCACATGCTGTGAAAAACCTATTAAATTTTAGTCAAACTCAGCTAGACTAACTCTTATGAACTTCTTTTTTATTTTTATTTTTTTTAAGCTGGAGTCTCACTCTGTCACCCAGACTGAAGTGCAGTGGCCGCTCCTGGCCACTGCAGCCTCGACCTGCTGGCCTCCGGCGATCCTTCCGTCTCAGCCTTCCGAGTAGCTGGAACTACAGGCACACGCTACCGTGCCCGGCTAATTTTTGATTTATTGTAGAGATGAGGTCTCGCCAAGTTGCCCAGGCAGGTCTCGAATCCACAGGCTCAGGCTGTCCACTCACCTCAGCCTCCCAAAGGCGCGGGATCACCCAAAGGCTGAGCCACCGAGCCCGGCTATGAACTTCTTCCAAACCCCATCTGAAACACTACAACTTTTTTAAATCGAGTAATAATATTTTGAAAGGAATTTTTTTTTTCTGAATGTAGGTCTCAACAGTCGATTTAAACTATTCAGTAAATCATGCTGTAAACAGATGTGCTGTCATCTAGGCCTTGTTCCACTTATAACACACAGGCAGAGTAGATTTAGCATAATTCTTAATTTTAATTTTAATTTAATTTAATTTTTTTGCGACAAGATCTTGCTGTGTTGCCCAGTGTGGTCTCAAATTCCTGGGTTCAAGCAATCTTCTTGCCTTGGCTTTCCAGAGTTGATGGGATTACAGGCGTGAGTCACTGGGCTCGGCCAGATTTAGTATAATTCTTAAGGACCATAGGATTTTTGGAATAGTAAAAATGTGTGTGTGTATGTGTACAATATATATATCTGAGGTTGGGACTAAAAAATGCCTGAAATTTTCTTTTGGAGGTTGGGCCCCTTGTAGTACACTCAGAATTTTTTCTTCTGGATCAAACGATCAACCAACGTTTTTTGTCTGGAAGGAGCTTGTACTTTTCTATAGCCTTATGCTATTGGGCTATAAGCGAGTTTGACCTGTTTATCCCTGTCCTTCAGCTCCAAGAGCATCAAGAGGAGATTGAGGGGATGATGAACGCCCTCTTCAGGGGTGTCTTTGTGCATCGGTACAGGTGAGTTAATGGGCGTCTCATTGAAGCAGCTGGTCCTGCAACTGGAGCAAAAACTCTCAACAAGTGTTTCAGGTTAATGAAGTTTATCCCTACCTACAAAGACCTTGTAAGCTCTTCTGAGAGAAAAGATGAGGATAGACATTGCTGAGTATTCTCCGGCTCCAGCTTTGCCCAAGTTCTGCCCTCACCCCCTATCTTTCAGAGGCTGGAGCTTGAGAAGATAAGAGCAGAGAACCAAAAGGCGGGCTTGCTTTTTTGAGGAATATGTGCAGCTTGGCAGGCCTTTTCCTGGCCCAGCCTTCTCTTTCACTGTGCTGAGGGCAGGGGAGTTTTATACTGCTTAAAGAACTGGTGGAATTAAGCTAAAAAGAGTATATGTAGTTTCTCACTTTTACCTAGGTTTCTGCTTGTGCCTTTCCAGAACCTTCCAGCTGACTTAACCTTTTCTTAAAGTGGAATTTAAATATACACGGTTTGGCCAACAGTTGAATGAACTTTCCAAATTGGCTTTTAAAAGAGGTATGGAGTGTGGTGGTGCACGCCTGTAGGCCTAGCTACTTGGAAGGCTGAGTTGGAAGGATTGCCTGAGCCCAGCAGGTTGAGGCTGTGGTAGCTGTGAGCGTGCCACTGCACTCCAGCCAGGGCAACAGAGTGAAACTCCAAGTATAAAAAAATAAAGAAAGGTGTGGAGAAGCTGATTCAAGTATTTTATGGGCTTATTATAGAAAGAAAATGCTTACTAACTAGGCATAGTAACACGTGTCTGTAGTCCTGATTACTTGGGAGGCTGAGGCAGGAGGATCCTGGCCTGAACCCAGGAGTTCCAAGGCCAGCCTGGGCAACATAGCAACACCTCTCCCTTAAAAAAAGGAAAAAAATATATATATACATATCTGTCTCTTAAAAGAAGGAAAAGAAAAATGCACACACACACACACACACACACGTGTGTGTATTTTATTTATATATATATATATATATTTATCTGTGGTTGAGACTTAAAAAAAAACCCCTGGAATTATCTTTTGGAGCACGGGACCCTTGTAGTACACTCAGAATTTTTTTTTCTGGATCAAATGGTCAATCACCCTTTTTTGTCTGGAAGTTTTGAGAAGGTTGCATCATGATTTGTGGAAGAAGTGTCCCAAGTTGTGGCAGACAGGTGACTGGTTCTTCCACCACGACAATGCACCTGCTCACACTGTGCTGAGTGTTCAGCAATTTTTGACCAAAAACAGCATGACCTTCCTATTCACCTGATCTCACCCTGCGCAACTTTTTTTGTTTCCTGGATTTTAAAAAAAGTTTTTTTTAAAAAAGTCTTCAAAGGGAAATGTTTTGCTGATGTGGAAGAGGTGAATCAAAAAATGGCAGAAGCACTAAAAGGCATCAAAATTGACAAGTTCAAAAACTGTTTTGAGCCGTGGAAAAAGCATCTCGATAGGTGTATTGTGTCCGAGAGTACTTTGAAGGTGACTGAAGTTTGAACATGTAAGAATAAATACACAATTTTTATAAATAAATTCCATTTTGGGGGGTCTCCTGTTATGTAGATACAGTATTTACATTGGGAAGAAGACATGAAAGGCATGGTACATAGTGCTTCACCAAGAAGATAAATTCTTCTGTGAGAGGGAGCTCTCTGGTAGTGTGGAAGGTGAGTTTGGAGAGAGGGTGACAAGAGTCAGTTTCTCTCTGTCTAGGGATGTCCTTCCTGAGATCCGTGCTATCTGTATTGAAGAAATTGGGTGTTGGATACAAAGCTACAGTACCTCTTTCCTCACCGACAGCTATTTAAAATATATTGGCTGGACCCTGCATGACAAGGTGGGAGTTGAGTCCGCCTCCCTTTCCCCATTTCCTTCATCCTCTCCCTGCCCTAGGACCCTTTGCCTTTTCTTGGTCCTGCCACTTAGCCGTTTTATCTAGTGAGCAATGGTCACTCATCAGATCGCTAAACCTCGAAACTCCCTCAGTACTGGGAAGGGTGGGATAAGGTGGAGAAAGACACATCCGAGAGATGAAAGGCCTCAAAACCTGAGGTTAGGGGGAGAAAGACTTTCCCGTGAGAGAATGTTGTTGATATTGGTAATACAAAGGCTAGGGTGGTAGCCAAAGGATCCTTTTCGTCATAAGTGCTAAATTCTGCTGTGATTCTTTTGTGTTTTAAGAAGGCATCTGTTCACTGGCTCTGATATCTCAGAGTCCTCAGTAAAGAGGACACCCAGGCCACGTTGAGGGCTCAGAGGGGGGAGTCTAGAGGCTGAGTAGGGGTAAGTAGAAGAGTGGCCTGTCTGTTTCCATCCTCCTGGTTCATGCTCCTCAATAGAACTGGGAAGTCCGTCTGAAGTGCTTGAAGGCTCTGAAAGGGCTGTATGGCAACCAGGACCTGACTGCACGCCTGGACCTCTTCACGAGCCGCTTCAAGGTACAATTGGGGCAGTGCTCCTTGGCTTGACTGTTCGTCTTAGTTCCTGTTTCCCCATCTTGTGTCTTTCCACTTCTGTTGCTCTGATATATATTTAGCTACCCCAGCATCTGCTTTTGCGCCCTCTCTTTAGGAATCCCTGATTCTAGAGAATGTAACATTTTGGAATAGGTACAATGAGATATTGAACTATGTTCTCCTTCCTACAGGACCGGATGGTTTCCATGGTCATGGACAGAGAGTATGATGTGGCAGTAGAGGCTGTCAGGTTGCTAATACTCATCCTTAAGTGAGTCCTGGGAAGAGGGGATGCAAGCACCTCGGACCTTTGCCCTTCCAGAGTCCTTTCCCTCTGCCTGTCATATGTTGACTCTTCCATCTGTGGAGGCTGCAAGACAGAGGTTGTACCTGAGTGGCAGGACCTCAAGGGGGGCAAATATTTCTTCTCTCTCTCCATACACCTTTGTCTTCCACTCTTCATTTAAAAGTTTTTTTGTGAGTTATAGCCTTGTTGTTTTTGCCTCTTTTTGTTTCTAGTCTTGTTTGTGCTGGAAGACAACATCCATGTCTATATGTTGCTTTGCTTTTCTCTGGGCAGAAACATGGAAGGGGTGCTGACAGATGCGGACTGTGAGATCATCTACCCTGTTGTGTATGCCTCAAATAGAGCCCTGGCCTCTGCTGCAGGAGAGTTTCTGTACTGGAAGTGAGTGGGGGCTCCTTTCGTGTGCCTCTTTAGCACTGTTCTTTTGTTTTCTCTCCCTTGTCTCCAGCTGTTCTGCATAAGGACTCCCCATACCTGTGGATGTTTTTCTGGTGTCTCTTTTCTTCCCTCGACTCCTTGGGGCTTTCCTTAGCTCTGCACCTCCTTTTCACTTTTTGTCTCCTTGGGCCGTCTCCTCCCTTCATGGGGATTATCGCGTTTCTGTTTCCTCTCATGCTATGCCCTTTCATTGTGTCCGTTCCACCAGACTCTTCTACCCTGAGTGTGAAGCAAGAACAGCGGGTGGAAGAGCGCGACGCCGAAGTCCACTTGCCCAGAGGACTTTCTTTCACCTTCTGCTGTCCTTCTTTGTGGAGAGTGAGGTGACGTGGAGCGACGTTTGGCTGTTGTGCCTAAGGCCTGCCAGCAGAGAAGGGTGGGGTGGGCACAATAGGAAGGAGGGTGCTGTCTAATCAGTAGACACTTCCTGGAGTGCTTTTTTTTAAAAATTTTGAGTTGGGTCTCACTCTGTCACCCATGCTGGAGTGCAGTGGCACAATCATGGCTCACTGCAGCCTTGAACTCCTGGGCCGAAGTGATCCTCCTGCCTTAGCCTCCTGAGTAGCTGGGACCGTGGGCATGTGCCTCTCTGCCTGGCTGATTTTAAAAATTTTTTTGTAGAGCCAGGTCTCGCTATGTTGCCCAGGCTGGTCTTGAACTCCTGGCCTTAAGTAGTCCTTTTGCCTTGGCCTCTAAAGGCGTGAACCACCTTGCCTGACCCCTGGAGTATTTTAACTTGGCTTTGGTAATTTACACTCTTTTTGATACTCTTGCAGCTCCACGATCACGCTGCTTACTTAGTGGACAGCCTGTGGGACTGTGCAGGGTCTCAGCTGAAGGACTGGGAGAGTCTGACAGGCCTGCTGCTGGAGAAGGATCAGAGTGCGTGCCACACGGTAGCTGGGGAATGGGGACCTTTCGCCTCCCAGTGTGAAACCAGAAGGGATTTCTTGCCATACTTGTAAAAGGCAGCAGCATGTGGCATGGGCTGGGGAGAGCTTAAAGATGGAAGGTGGCTGAGGTGATGCGGTGTTTTTGATCCTTTTGCCACACCAGACCTGGACGATGTGCAGGAGAGCACACTGATAGAGATCCTTGTGTCCAGTGCCCGGCAAGCTTCAGAGGGTCACCCACCTGTGGGGCGCATCACTGGGAGGAAGGTATGGAATGAGGGGCCGGTTGGGTAGGTTTTCATTATGAAATGCAGACAGGTATTTTGCATTCTTTTCCTCGGGCCTGGGCTAAGGTGCTGCTTCTGCCCCTCAAGGAATTCCATTTCCAGAAAAATTCTGCAGGGAGTTCCTGAGATCTTTTTTCCTTCCTGGGCAGCTAAAATAATGGGGAGGAAGGGTGCATGCACCCTTGGGATCAGCCTTCTCCACACTTGGCCTCACATCCAAGCGACTCTGATTCCAGGGCTTAACCCCTAAAGAACGCAAGACCCAAGCTGATGACAAGGTGAAGCTGACTGAGCACCTCATCCCCTTGCTACCCCAGCTCCTGGCCAAGGTACGTGGCCCCAGTTTGCAGTGTCACGCCATGAGCAGTGAAAAGACACGGTCTCTGATGCGGGATGGGTGTCGGAAGTAGCAGTGTGTTCGCTCACGAGGAAGCCCTCTCACTCATCACAGTTCTCGGCGGATGCAGAGAAGGTCGCTCCCCTGCTCCAGCTTCTCGGCTGCTTTGACCTCAGCATCTGCTGCACGAGGCGCTTGGAGAAGGTGAGGCAGCAGGAAGGCAGGTTTCGTGCACCGGCCGCTTGTCTGCCTGGGGCCAAGGGTTCCGTGGCCTGTATCTGGTTCTTCAGAAGCTTGAGTTCCAGGCCGCGTGGTGATTCAGCCTGTAATCCCGGCACTTTGGGAGGCTGAGGCAAGAGGACTGCCTGAGCTCAGGGGTCCGAGACCAGCCTGGGCCACTTAGTGAGACCTTGTCTCTACGATATATAAAAAGATATTAGCTGGGCCTGGTAGCACACGACTGTAGTTGCGGCTACTTGGAAGGCTGAGGTGGAAGGATCACTGAAGCCCAGCAGGGTGGTGCAGGGGTGGCCGTGAGTGTGCCACCGCACTCCAGCCTGGGCGACGGAGTGAGACTCCAACTCCAACAAAACAAAACAAAACAAAAAAACCTGAGTTCTAGGCAATCCCCTCGGGTCCCCTTATGTTCTGGGAACTTTTCTGTCCTCTCAATAAATCCTGCTCCCCCCCAAAAAAAACACCTGGGTTCTAGAAAAAGCAATAAGCCTTTTTTTCTTGGGCATCTTATCCTTGAAGTGTAATGCTTTCAACCCGTTCCCTGTTCCTTATCTCTCCCGCAACACTGTCTCCTCTTGCCTTTTCTCCGCTCAGCACCTGGAGCTGTTCTTACAACAGCTCCAGGAGGTGGTGGTGAAGCACTGCGAGCCAGCAGTGCTTGAGGCTGGAGCTCATGCCCTCTACCTGCTTTGCAATCCCGAGTTCACATTCTTCAGCCGGGTGGACTTTGCCCGCAGCCAGTTACTGGATCTGCTGACCGACCGCTTCCAGCAGGAACTTGAGGAGCTACTACAGGTACGAGCTGGGACCAAACAGCGGGATGCCACAGAAGAGGGTGCGCAAGGGAAACGCGGATCCGTGAGCCCTTGTGAAATCCTGCTGTGGGCCTTCTTCCTTCCTCAGTCGTCCTTCCTAGATGAGGATGAGGTGTACGGTCTAGCAGCCACTTTGAAGCGCCTCTCTGCCTTCTACAAGTGAGCGGTTTTCCTCTCATTCCGTCCTCTCTTTCTCCTGATGTCTGTGGAGTTGGTTCCCTTTGTTCTGTTCCTGTGTCAAGCCTCCCTCTCTCTCCTCAAAGCGCTCATGACCTGACTCGCTGGGAGCTCTATGAGCCATGCTACCGACTACTCCGGAAGGCTGTGGACACAGGAGAGGTTCCTCGCCAGGCAAGTGGATGGGTTAGAGGTGTGGGAGCAGGGGAGGAGACTTGAAGAACCTGTGTCCTAGGTGGTCACCGCTCCAAGGTGCGTCCAGTCCCTGCGTGTGGAGCGGACACAGGGAGGAAGATCAGGTGGGGGTCACGCCTCACATTGCTCTCTTAGAAGGTGCACTCAACTCCCAGTGCCTCAAAACAGCCATTCTCTCAGATTTTCTGGGAGTCAAGGATAATATTGAGGGATTCTGGGAGACTTAGAGTAAATTAGGAAGAGGTGGCCTTTCTGCCCAGTTTGGAAGCCTAGGAATATTGTCTGGAGTATGGTTTCTTTTCCAGCAGAAAAGCAATTGGGTCTCCCCTTATCTCACTGCCTGTCTTCTTCACTGCTCTGTGTGTGTGTGTGTGTGTGTGTGTGTGCGTGCGTGCATATGTATGTGTGTGTGTGTGTCTTCCTGTTTGTCTCTTCCTCCACCTCTCTCTTTCTTTCCTGCCCCAAGCCTCATTTTTGAGACCTTCTGCTGTTACAGGTGATCCTGCCAGCCATGACTCTTGTCTATTATTCCATTCTCTGGACACTCACACACATTTCTGGGCCGAGTGCTTCCCAGGTGAGTGTGGGTTTGAGAAGGGGGATGGGAATGGAGGAGCCAGTGTTTTCATTCCTCCTCCTCAAGCCATTGTCCCCACAGAAGCAGCAGTTGAGCTTGAAGGACAGATTGGTGGCCTTCTGTGAGCTCTGCCAGAGCTGCCTCTCAGATGTGGATCCTGGGATCCAGGAGCAGGTGAGCATTTACTCAAGTGAGAGCAGGAAGGCGAGTGTCCCCCCGATTCCCAGGAGAAGTTAGCTGTGTCAGTTCTATCTGGAGAACCATTCCATCTTTTTAAGCATCCTTTATTTCCCCCCAACAGGCTTTTGTCTTATTAAGCGATGTGCTTCTCATCTTCAGTCCTCAGATGGTTGTAGGGGGCCACGATTTCCTTAGACCCCTTGTCTTTCTTCCTGAAGCGACTCTCCAGTCTGAACTAGCCAGCTTCCTCATGGACCACGTCTTCATCCAACCTGGAGACCTGGGCAGTGGTACAGCAGCTCTAGAGTTGGGGTTCAGGAAGGATTGGTTTGGGGCTTGGGCCTGGCTCGGAAACATAGGGCAGGAGACCTAAGTCTGTGGTGCCATCCTGCATTTGATGTGCGCCAGGTCCTTCCCAGGAGGATCATTTACAGATCGAGCAGCTACACCAGCGGCGCCGCCTCCTGGCTGGGTTCTGTAAGCTGTTACTGTATGGGGTGCTGGAGATGGATGCAGCCTCAGATGTTTTCAAACACTACAACAAGGTATGGTGAGACCCTGCAGAAGTAAAGGAGAGAGATCAGTTGAGCACAGTCATGACTTCAGACGCTAGCGCTGCAGAAAGGCCGGCTCAAAGGAGCAGTGGGAGGAAAAGGGTTAGAGGCAAGGGATGCAGAAAAGAGACTTACTAGTAAACCGGTATGGGGGAAAAGCATTTAGGAAATTCACTGGGGGGGAAATAGCTGCTGCTTCCTGTCTAGAAACGTTTTTCTCTCTGACCCCAGTCAGTGGAATGGAGTAATCTTGTAAGAAGGAAAAAATGGAAGGAGGAGGGATCATCCTCACAAGTTATTTAGACATATACCTCTGTTTCCTCAACCCACCAGTGCATTAATTTCAGGTTGCTTGAGTACCTGATGTGTGCCATGCACCATTCCATGTGCTAAGGACACAGCAGTTAGCAAAACAGATACAAAGCGACAACTTTTTTGGAAGTTTCCTTTCCTGTCAGGGAGAGATGAGTAGTGAAGGTGTCAGTGCTGGGTGAGAGTGGGCACTGCTGGGTTTTACTGTTCTTTTTTCTCAAATAACTGGGCTCAGGGTAGAGTTTTCTATTTTTTCCCCCTAACCTCTGATTTCTTTTGGGCTTTGTGCCTGTTTGTTAGAGATTAGGTCTAACCTGTGCTTTTTAATGCTTCGGTTCATGTTTCCTACCTGAAGCCCTTTGGGAAGGAGACGTGATTAAGGATGTGCAGGAAGAAACAGTATTTTCCAGTGGTCAGACATGGTCTCCTCCCCTTCCTCTCCCTCAGTTCTACAGCGACTATGGTGACATCATCAAGGAAACATTAACTAGAGCGAGGCAGATGGACCGGGGTCGTTGTTCCCGGATCCTGCTGCTGAGCCTCAAGCAGGTACTCTCTCACCTCGAGGTCTCCACCTGTGCTGTTCCCTCTCTGAAGTCCCCCCACTCTCTGTCACGCTCTGTCACTTAGGACTTAAAAGACCCATGAGAAAGGAATGGGCGGCAGTGGGAAACTGCCAGAGGAGGGGGTGGGAATGGCAGTACTGGGAAAGGGGGGTGGGTCAGGGGTGGTGGCGACGCGACACACTTCCTCAACAGGAGTGCCCCGCATGAGGAACATTTGTGTGCTTAACCCTGAATTGTACCCACATCTTTAAAATAAAAAAAAAAATTAAAGAGAACTTAAAAGATTCTTCAGAGCAGAGCTTTCTTATTTTGACTGTCATTTTACATGACAGACTCCTTTAAACCTAGTAGGCCCTTGAAAATATTTTTTAACTGATTGGACAGTTTCTTCCCCGCCCCGTCAAAATCAACTATCAGGACATAGGAGCACTAATGATGAAGTGATACGGAATTCCTGATTACTTTTCAGTCTGTTCTCTTAGCTTCCTCAGTCATTACAGACGTTTTAATGTAATGTTACAGAGCAGGGGTGAAGGCACTGTGCTGCAAGGGGCAGGTATCAGGGAAGTATTCTGGGAGAAAAGAAAGTAAAAGTAGCAGATGATATTTCAAGCCCTGTGGAATTTCTAAGGAGAGAGGGGAGTGCTGTACTTCTCTACTTCTGCCTTGTTCCTCCCTTTCCCACATGTACCATGTCGTGTGGACACAGCTGTACACAGAACTGCTGCAGGAACAGGGGCCCCAGGGCTTGAATGAGCTTCCAGCCTTCATCGAGATGAGGGACCTGGCCCGCAGGTTTGCCTTGAGCTTCGGACCCCAGCAGCTGCAGAACCGTGATCTTGTGGTCCTGCTGCACAAGTACGAAGTGTCGGTGGGAGGCTGTGTAGGTGGAGAGCTGGGAATGCGATCTCAGAGGAGGGCGAGCGGTGAAGATGTAGCGGTTGGGTGGATGTGGGGTCTGCCTTTGGAGACAAGCTAGGCACAGGGGAGGGTGCCCTGGGACAGGAGTCGCAGCCCTGGGCGAGAAGTGGGAAGGGCCTGTCTTCTAAAAGAATCCTGCCCAACCAAGGGAAGGCATCAGGTTCTCCCTGTCGGAGCTTCCTCCAGCTGGGTCCTCTGATCAGCCCCCAAACCTGGCCTTCCTGGAGCTCCTTTCAGAGTTTTCCCCTCGGCTCTTCCATCAGGACAAGCAGCTGCTGTAAGTTGGTGGGTGGACAGAGTTGCGGATTGGGGAAGAAGGGCCTGATGAGGGCCCAGTGGCTCTTTAACCTCTTCGTCTCACCCCTTCCTTAGACTGTCCTACCTTGAAAAGTGCCTGCAGCGTGTCTCCCAAACATCTGGTTGTTCCTGGGGTCCAGTCACCACCTACTGCCATTCCCTCAACCCTGTGGAGAACATAGCAGAGGCCAGCCTTCAGAGTTACCCTCGCTCCAAGAGGAGACGCGTTGAAGGTAGAGTGCTGTATGTATGGATATCAGGGTGTTCAGTACCACCTCTTTTTTTTTTTTTTTTGAGTTGGAGTCTCAGTCCTTTGCCCAGACTGGAGTGCAGTGGCACGCTCCCGGCCACCCCAGTGCACACCTGCTGGGCTCTGGCGATCCTTCTGCCTTAGCCTTCCAAATAGGCAGAACTACAGGCACATGCTACCATGCCCGGCTAATTTGATTTATTGTAGAGACGAGGTCTCGCCAAGTTGCCCGGAGCTGGTCTTGAACCTGCAGTCTCAGGCAATCCACTCGTCTCGGCCTCCCAGAGTGCTGGAATTACAGGCTGAGCCACTGAGCCTGGCCAGTACTGCTTCTTAATGCCACCACTTAGATAAGCAGCAGATGGTTTGGGGCCACTTTCAAGCTTTTATTTTTTCAAATATTTCATTGAGCATCTGTTGTTATTATTAGGGGTATTCATTTTCTTCAAGGCTTATCTAGTCAACTAAAAATAGCAAGCCTCTGAAAAGTAAAATACAAACTAATGATGAAAACCAAAGAATGAACTGAGAAATCTGTACATTTATGGTACTCCTCCTTGACATCTTGTATCCCATCATTTTCTAAATTTTAGACATTTTTATACAACCTTCATGATTTTTTACCTTCAGATCACCACCTGTCTTAAAAATCACCTATATACCCAGTCGTGGTGGTACGTGCCTATAATCCAACTATTTGGAAGGCTGAGGCAGAAGAATCACCTGAGCCCAGCAGGTCGAGGCTGTGGTGGCTGTGAGCATGTCACTGCACTCCAGCCTGGGTGACAATGTGAGACTCCAACTCAGAAGAAAAAAAAATCACCCATATTCTTTAATTTGCTTTTTAATATAGTTTCATATTAAGTGATAGCATCCCAGCAATCACAGTTTGATATACTAGTATGTGTTTTCTAGTGTATTTATTTATTTGAGTTGGAGTCTCACTCCATCACTCAGGCTGGAGTGCAGTGAAATGCTCACGGTCACGTCAGCCTCGACCTGCTGGGCTCTGGCGATCCTTCCGCCTGAGTCTTCCAAGTAGCCAAATTACAGGTGTGCACCACCATGCCTGGCTAAGTTTTGATTTGTTGTAGAGACAAGATCTTGCCAAGTTGCCCGGGCTGGTCTCGAACCCACGGGCTCAGACAGTCCATTCGCCTCAGCCTCCCAAAGGAATTACAGGCTGAGCCACCGAGCCCAGCCTCTTGTGTCATTTTAAAAATGGGAGTTTATGTGATAGCTTTACTGAGATGTAATTTATACATTATAAAAATCGCCCTGAGCCTGGTACAGTGGCTCGTCTGTAATCCCAGCACTCTGGGAGGCCAAGGCGAAGGATTGCTTGAGCCTTGGAGTATGAGACCAGCCTAGGCAACATAGCAGAACCTCATCTCTGTTAAAAAAAAAAAAGAAAAGTAAAGAAAAGTTAGCTGGTCATGGTGATGTGTGCCGGTGGTGTGTGCCTGTGGTGCCAGCTACATGGAAGGCTGAGGCAGGAGGATTGCTTGAGCCCAGGAGTTCAAGGTTGTGGTGACTGTGATTGTGCTACTGCACTCCAGCCTGAGAGACAGAATGAGACCCTGACTCAAAAGAAAAAAAAATTCTCTTTAAAGTGTTCACTCAGTGATTTTTAGTGTATTCACCAAACTGTGCAGCCATCACCACTATCTAATGCTGGAGTGCCAAAAAACATCTATACACATTTTAAGAGATGTTCACATAATCAGAAGTGTCTGGATACTGATGGTTACCACTTTGAACACCTCTTGTAATTGCAGAAGTCAGACATGACTTGTATTCATCTTATTAAATATTATAATTTAAAAAATTTTTTTTTATTTTAAAGATAAGGGGTACAATCCAGGGTTAGGTATACAGATGAGGCACCCTTGTTGGTGAGGTGTGCCCCCCTCCCCTGGCAGTTTCCCACTACTGCCAATCCTGCCTCTCCCGGCCCCCCTCCAGCAGTTTCCCACTACTGCCAATCCCTTTCTTACAGTATTATGATAATTGTTCAAGGTGTGCTTATGAGTGAGAACATGTGGTACTCAGTCCGTTGTTTCTGTGATAGATCACTCAGTATTATAGACTCTAAATCCATCCACGTTGCTGCGAAGTTCATAGTTTTGTCCGTCTTTATCGCTGCATAATATTCCATCATGTATATGTACCATATATTTTTTTATCCATTCCTCTTTTGACGGGCAGCACAGTTGGTTCCAAGTTTTTACTATTGTGAATAATGCTGCAATAAACATGCATGTGGGCAAGCATCTTTTTCCGAGAGTGATTTGAGTTCCTCTGGTATACTCCCAGTAGAGGGATTGTGGAGTTGTTTGGGAGGTTGATTTTTAGATCTTTCAGGAATCGCCAAACTGTTTTCCACAGAGCTTGTACTAGTTTTCCCACCTACAGTGTAGAAGTGTTGCCTTTCCCCCCCATCCTCTCCTGCATATGTTGTTTTTTTGAGTTAATTTATGATGGCCATCCTGACTGGAATTAGGTGGTATCTCAGTGTGGTTTTAATTTGCGTTTCTTTAATGACTAGTGAGGCTGAGCATTTTTTCATGTATCTGCTGGCTGCTCGTATGTCTTCTTTTGAGAACTGTCTTTTCATATCTTTTGCCCACTTTGTAATGGAGCTGTTTGCTTTTTTCTTTTCGACATGTTTGAGTTCCTTGTAGATCCTAGATGTTAGGCCTTTATCAGATATACAGTTGGCAAATATTTTTCCCCAGTCTGTAGGCTGTCTCCTTGCTCTCTTGCTGGTTTCTTTTGCTTTGCAGAAGCTTTTCAGTTTAATAAGGTCCCATTTGTCTGTTTTATCTCTTATGGCATGGGGACTTGGGGTTTTGGTCAGGAATTGGTTGCCAGTTCTAATTTCCATAATTTCCATAAGGGTGTCCCCTGCATTGTCTAAGGTTCTTATAGTTTGAGGTTTTACGTTTAGGTCTTTGTTCCATTTAGAGTTGATTTTTGTGTATGGTGAAGGTAGGGGTCTTGTTTTAATCTTCTGCGTGTGGTTAGCCAGTTCTCCCAGCACCATTTACTGATTAGGTTTTCCTCTCACCAGTGGTTGATGGTGACAGCTTTGTTGAAGATGAGTTGATTGAGAAATTAAGGTTTTTGCTTCTGGAATTTCAATCCTGTTCCATTGGTCTGTATGCCTGTTCTTGTACCAATACCAGGCTGTTTTGATTATTGTGGTTTTTTATAATAAAGTTTAAAGTCTGGAAGTGTGATACCTCCCACTTTGTTTTTGTTTTTTGCTGAGGATTTCTATTCATGGTAATTTATGTTTCCATATGAATGCCTGTATTGTCATTTCCTGGTCTGAGAGGAATGCTGCTGGTACTTTAATGGGCATTGTGTTAAATCTGTAGATTGCCTTGGGTAAGATGGACATCTTAACAATGTTGATTCTTCCAATCTATGAGCATGGATTATTTTTCCATTTGTTTGTGTCTTCTTGGATTTCTTTGAGCAGTGTTTTGTAGTTCTCATTGTAACGGTCTTTCATTTCTTTGCTTAGGAGAGAATTATAATTTTAATTCAGTTTTTTCCTTTCTAAAGATGTATGTACATTTTTTGGCACCCTCTGTGTTGGAACATTTTCATCACTCTGAACGAAACCACATACCCATTAGCAGTCTCTCTTCATCTTCCTAGCCTTAGGCGCAGGATAGTAAATCTAATTCCTGTTTCTGGAATGCCTGTTCCAGACATTTTATAAATGGAATTGTATAATATATGACCTTTTGCACCTGGCTTCTTTCACTTTGCACAGTGTTTTCTTTTTCTTTTCTTTTTTTTTTGAGTCAGAGTCTTACTCTGTCACCCAGGCTGGGCTGCAGTGACATGCTCATGGCCACTGCAGCCTCGACTTACTGGGCTCAGGCAATCCTTCTGCCGCAGCATTCCAAGTAGCTGGAACTACAGCCATGCGCTGCTGTGCCTGGCTACTTTTTTTCTTTTTTTCTTTTTTGTAGAGACAAGGTCTCGTCATGTTGCCCAGGCTGGTCTCGAACTCCTGGGCTCAGGCAGTCCTCTCACCTTGGCCTCCCTCAATGCTGAGATTACAGGTGTCAGCCACTGCACCTGGGCCAGTACAGTGTTTTCAAGGTTCATCCATATTTTAACATATACTAGTTAGTATCTGGTACCTTTTTATGACCAAATAATATGCCAGCGTATAGATACGCCACATTTTATTTCTGTTTTTTCCATGTCTTAGTGACTGTGATTGTAAAATTACATCCCATTATGTTTTAAATTTGGTATTTCGTGGTTTAAATTTGCATTTTTGTAATGACTAATGATGTTGAACATCTATTCGTGTGCTTATTGGTAATTTGTTCATCATCTTTGGAGAAACATCTATTCAGATCCTTTGCTATTCTTAAACAGTGTTACTTGTCTTTTTATTGTTGTCAAGTTATATAAATAGTTCTCTATATATTCTAGATACAGGATTCCTGCTGATATGCAAAAATATTCTCTCATTTTGTGGGTTTTTTCATGTCGATGGTGTTCTTTGAAGCACAAAGGTTCTTAAATTTGATGAAATCTAACTTTTATTTCTTTTGTTGCTTGTGCTTTTGGTGTGTGTCATAACTCAAGAAATTGTGGCCTAATCCAAGGTCACAAAAATTTACTCCTGTTTCCTTCAAAGAGTTTTATAGTTTTAGCTCTTACGTTCAGATCTGTGATAAGTTGTAGTTAATTTTTGTATATGGTGTGATTTCTTTTTAATGTTTTCTGTATACCATCTGCAATTATGTATCATGCCACCAGGAAACTCTGCTTTAATCAGTTTACTAATAAATACTAATAAATAAGGACCTACTATATGCAAGATGCCATGTTCAGTGTTTTAGAGCCCTTGAAGGATTCTCAGGCAGCTTACCATCTTTCTTTTTTTTTGAGTCGGAGTCTCACTCTGCCGCCCAGACTACAGTGCAGTGGCCGCTCCCGGCCACCGCAGCCTCGACCTGCTGGGCTCTGGCGGTCCTTCCACCTCAGCCTTCCAAGTAGTTGGAACTACGGGCGTGTGCTACTACACCCGGCTAATTTTTTGATTTGTTGTAGAGATGAGGTCTCGCCAAGTTGCCCAGGTGGGTCTTGAACCCGCAGGCTCAGGCAATCCACTCACCTCAGCCTCCCAAAGGGTGGGATTCCAGGCTGAGCCGCTGAGCCCAGGTTCTTTCTTTTTTTAAAAGATTTTTTATTTTGAAGATGTGGGGCACAACTCAGGGCTCGGCGTACAAATGTTCACGACGCAGGCGCCCTTGTGGATGAGGCATGCCCCCCCACCTCACCTGGCAGCTTCCCACTACTGCCAATCCCGTTCTTACAGTGTTATGATAATTGGGAAGATTTTTCTTTATGAAAAACTTGAACTATGAATAGTCACCAACAAATGGTAACTACTTCAGGGTTTGCACAAATGAATGCTGTAGAGCTCAGAGAAGGAAAGTCTCGCTTTCAGGGTTAGTTGATCTACGAATGCTTTTCAAGAGAGTGGAATTTAAGCTGGAGCTTCAAAAAATGCAAAAGATTTATATAAGCTGAACAAAGGAAGAATGAGCACCAGGGGCTAGCAGAAGAGTGCAGCAGAACATAGAAAGGTAAGATAAAACTGGTAAGATTGGGCCAGGAAGGCATGGTGGCTCACTCCTGTAATCCCGGCACTTTGGAAGACCGAGGTGAGAGGATTGTTCAAGCCCAGGAGTTCAAGACCAGCCTGAACAACATCGTGAGACCTTGTCTCTACAAACAGTTTTTAAAAAATTAGCCGGCATGGGGGTGTATGCCTGCAGTCCCAGCTACGCAGGAGACTGGGATAGAGGGATCTCCTGAGCCCAGGAGGTCGAGGCTGCTGTGAGCCATTGCACTCCCGTCTGGGCAACAGAGTGAAACTCTGACAAACACCCACACACCCCAAAACACACACAAAACCAAAACAAATGGACAAGATTGGCTCTGTTGTTTGTTCTACAGATACTGAGCACCATGTGCTGGGAACACAGCAGTGAACAAAAAGGCAAATATTTCTCTCACCAGAGCGTGTCAGGTAGTGGTAAATGCTGTGGCAACAAAGCCTGGAGGAGGGAGAGGGAATAGTGGTGAGGTGGGAATTGTGGTCTTACAAGGAGGGATAAGGGAAAGGCTCAAAAACACACATGCTGAGCAAAAAACCTAAAAAGACCTGCTAAAAGATAAACGTAGGCACATTCACAAGTTCACAAGTTTATGTGAGCATTCAGCAATTCATGAGTCAGGAAGCACCAGACCACAGACAGCTCAGGGCTCTACCACCAAGGAAGCATGAGGAAAGAGTTCACGTAAGATGCTTGTGGGAGTAAGACAAAGAAAATATTGGATTGCTTAAAGTGGAAATTTTATTGTTAGCTTCTAATTGGTGAAGTCGCTAGTTAGAGGTCAGTTGCTAGTGTTTCATTGGTGGAGCTTGTTTCCTTTTCCTAGGCTACATGCATTCACTCATGAGTTTAGTTTTGTTTTGCTTATGTAGGAACCCAAGGTGCTGTAGCCATCTCAGCCTGTTGGCCTCCCAATTAGTTTTTTTTTTTTAACAGAGGTGAGGGAGGCTACTGATTTCTATCAAAAGAGCACACCACAGGGAGCAGCCTGTCCAAAGGCCATGAGGGGAATTTTCCTGGCATGTTCAAGGATCAGTGGAGAAGATCATTAAGGCCAGAATTCAGAATGTAGGATATGCGACCAAAGAGGTTGCTAGTACCCAAAGTATACGAGGCAGAGTAAAGACTCTGGCTTTTACTCTGAGTGCAGTGGGAAACCATCACAGGATTTTGAGCAGAGGATCAGCCTGTGTTTTTAAAAGGTTCTTCTAGCTGCTATGTTGAGCGCTGACGGTAAGGGGGGGAGAGTAGAAGCCAGCACACGTTAGGAAACTATTGTCGGAGTTCAGCCAGGAGATGAGAGTGCTTGGAGACCAGAGCCAACGGTGGGGATGGTGATAAGTGGCCAAATTTGGGCTGCATTTTCAAGGTATCTTTTTTTTTTTTGAGTTGGAGTCTCATTCTGTCACCCAGACTGGAGTGCAGTGGCTGCTCCTGGCCACCGCAGCCTCGACCCCGGCGATCCTTCCGCCTCAGCCTTCCAAGTAGCTGGAACTGCAGGCACATGCTACCATTCCTGGCCAATTTTTTGATTTATTGTAGAGATGAGGTCTTGCCAGGTTGCCCAAGCGGGTCTCAAACCCGCAGGCTCAGGCATTCACTCACCTCAGCCTCCCAAAGCGCTGGGATTACAGGCTGAGCCACCAAGCCCAGCTTCAAGGTATCTCTTAATAGGTTTTCCTGACAAACTAAATGTGCGATATAAGACAGAGAGGAGTTGAGGATGACACCAAGAGTTTTGCCTGACAGTTGGAAGGATGGAGTTGATAATCATCTGAAATAGGGAAGTCTGTGAGCGAAGCAGGCTGTGGGGGAGGGCCAGGGCATTGGTGTTGGCCCTGGGATTGCAGGTGGAGGTGTTGAACGAGCCGTGGGGCTCTGAAACTAGAGCTCAGGGAGAGCCAAAGACTTGAGATTAGTTTGAGAGTTGGCAGAGTGTGGGTGAGGTTCAAGGGCACGAGCCTGAATGGCTAAGGCAGCCAGTGACGGTGGGGAAGAGGCAAGGCAGGCCCGAGGGCCCAGCCCTTGGCATCTCGCTCTGAGTGGGTTGGGGAGAGCAGGAGGGCCCACCGGAAGCCCACCGCTTCCTCTCTGGGGATCCAGGCCCTGGCGGGGCTCTTCCCTGTTTTCTTGTAGCCCTCTGTTTTTCAGTCAGTGTCAGTTCACTCTGGGGCTGTTGGTCTCAGTATACGAACATGGCTGTGGGGAGGGAGGGTAATAGTGGGGTGAATATTCACAGCTGACAAATATTAGTATCAGTTTGACTGATGTGTTAAAATAGCATTACCTGGGTTTTCTCAGGTGGTAAGAACCTTTGGATTTTTTTCTTTTCCTCTAACGTCTCCAATCTCTGCAGGAGAGGGTTCTCCACTGATCCTTCATATTGGAATTACACTGGCATTGCCATCATCTCACTTTTTTTTCTGGGTTTTAGAAAATCCTGTATCCTGGTTTTTTTTTTCCTCCCTATGCTTCATGCATCCACTCTGGCCTCTGGTTCCAAAACTCTATTTCTATTTTAAGCTTTTTCTGACCACAGATATCGTGAATGGATAGTACCTCGGATGTCTTCATGATTAACTCAGATCTCTCATTCTTAGAGATTCCAACCCTCTCTCATATTTGTGTTCACATGTGACAGTTTATCTGTGAAGTGTATATTTATCTGTTTTTCCATCTTGTTTTCTAAGCTATGTAGTATGTTATTCTTAGACAAGACCTGGCCACAATTCTTACTTTTTTGTTCAAGGGGCTATGCTTTTAGTTCATAGGACTGTGCTCATTTTTGAGATATAACAGAATGAGGCCCTCTATGTTTTCCATTCTCTTCTTGCTTTACTTTCCCTTACCAAATCCTGAGCAGGTCTTGAGAAGTGAAAGCACCTGTGGCAGGCCCCTGGTCTGTAGGTAATGCATGCATCTGCTTTGCAGGCCCCTCCAAGCACAGCAGAGAGGACACCTCTTCATTCCAGGAAGAAAGCCTGCAGGTGAACAGCATCCCACCCACACCCACCCTCACCTCCACAGCAGTGAAGAACAGACATTCCCTGGGGGAGTTGGAAGAAATGGAGGAGGAAGAAGGAGGCTCAGGATCGGAGTGTGCCCAAGGGTGAGGGCCAAGGAGGAAGTCTGGGTTTCTTGGTTCCCAGTTTGGTGTCTGGCCCTCTCCATCTTGATGTTTCTGTTCTGTTGTTTCCTCCTGCAGGATTATCTTATTATCATGTTCTCTAATCCTTTTTCATGTTTTAGCTTTAATATGGCTTTCAACACTGTGAGCTTTTCTCCCGTTTAACACGGTCCACTCTACCTCCTCATCTTACCCTTTACTTCTTTTTTTTTGAGTTGGAGTCTCACTCTGTCGCTCAGACTGGAGTGCAGTGGCTGCTCCCAGCCACTGCAGCCTCAACCTGCTGGACTCCAGTGATCCTTCCGCCTTGCCTTCCAAGTAGCTGGAACTACAGGCGCGCACTACCACACACGACTGATTTTTTGATTTATTGTGGAGATGAGGTCTCGCCAAGTTGCCCAGGCGAGTCCCGAACCCGCGGGCTCAGGCAATTCACTCACCTCGGCCTCCCAAAGCGCGGGATGACAGGCTGAGCCACCGAGCGACCTACCCTGTACTTTTATCCCGTTACTGAATCTGCTTTATTTCCAACAGGCAGCCCCTCACAGATACCCAGCTGCCAAGGTTCTCAGGTCCACAGCATTTCCAGACTCCACGCAACCCTTCAGATCCTAGTTTGGGTAACCAACTGACCCGGTGAGCTTTTCTCCTCATCTTCTGTCTTCACTTTAGAACTGTCACTCATTGTGAGGGGATTCTGACCTTATCCTGTGCTTTTTGTACCCGTGTTTTTTGACTAGTTTTAGCCATAGAACATTTAAGCATAATGTGAAAACTTACTGTGCTGTACTTATTGCCCACCCTGCTGCCCTGGGTGCCTTTGAGAAACTCTCAGTCGTTCCTAAAGAGCAGTTTGAAAACTCCTGTTCTTTGCCCCTGCATCAGACTCAACCTTATGGAAGAGGACGAGGAAGAGTTAGAAACTGAGGATGAGTCAAATGAAGAATGGCGAGATGCAGACAAGGTGAGTGGACCCACCCTTCTCCTCTCCCTCCATCACGTGAGGCGGTTGTGTGAATGAGAAACTGGAGTGCCTCTCGTCTCTCTACCCTGCGATGCCCTCGTCTCGGAAAGCCCAGAGAACCATAGAGTAAAGCTTGTTTGTTGCTTCAGACTTGACTTTAATTCTACTTTTAGTAAAGAGAGAAGGGGATTTTAACTTCCAAAAAGGATTGGAATATGATGAGCATTGTTGTCTCTGAACCGTCCCCAGATTGGAAGGCGTTCTAGAGCTAGAGGTGGGAGGTCATCCAGTCCAGGCGTGCAGCACGCCTGCTTTCGCTCTCCCTCCTTATAGAGGGCTTCTCCTCTCTGTGCCTCCACTCACTCCCTTTCCTACCCTAGCCTGCCCGCTTCCTCAGGAGGAAATGCTGCTGGTGTAGCAGGAAGAGTGCAGGTTTGGAGTGAGGTAACCTGGGTGCGAGACTTGAACTCCAAGTCAAGTTAGCGCTTTATCCCTTCTCAACCTCCATTTCCTCATCTTTATTTTTTTTAAATCTAACTTTATCTTTTTAGAAACAGGGTCTCACTCTGTCATCTAGGCTGGAGTGCCGTGACACCATCATAGCTTATTGCAGCTTCGAACTTCTGGGCTCAAGCTATCCTTCTTCCTCAGCCTCACAAGTAGCTGGGACTACAGGCATATTAACCACGTCTGGCTAATTATTTTTTGTAGGGGTTGGGTTTCATTTTGTTGCCCAGGCTGGTCTCAAACTCCTGGCCCCAAGGAATCCTCCCACTTGGGCCTCCCAAAGTGTTGGGGTTACAGGCATGAGCCACTGTGCCCGGCCCTGTTTCCTCATCTTTAAATGGAACTTTTAGCCGGGCTCGGTGGGTCAGCCTGTAATCCCGCGCCTTGGGAGGCTAAGGTGAGTGGATTGCCTGAGCCCGCGGGTTCGAGATCCGCCTGGGCAACTTGGCGAGACCTCATCTCTACAATAAATCAAAAAATCAGCCAGGCATGGTAGTGCGTGCCTGTAATTCCAGCTACTCAGAAGGCTGAGGTGGAAGGATCGCCGGAGCCCAGCAGGTCGAGGCTGCGGTGGCCGGGAGCAGCCACTGCACTCCAGTCTGGGCGACAGAGTGAGACTCCAACTCAAAAAATAAATAAATAAATAAATGGAGCTTTTAGCCTGTAGTCCCAGCTACTTGGGGGCCTGAGGCAGGAGGATCTCTTGAGCCCAGGAGTTTGAGTCCCACCTGGGCAACAAAGTGAGACCCCTTCTCTTCAGTGAAAATAAAGATTTTTTAAAAATAAAAAAATACATTAAATGGAGCTTTTACATAAAAGTAAAAGCACCTTATAAACTGAATATAAAACTGTCTTAGTTCTGGCTGTTGTAACAGAATTCCATGCCTTATAAGCAATAGAAATACATTTCTTATAGTTCTGAGGGCTAGAAATCTGAGATCAGGGTAAGCATGGTTGTGTTCTGGTGAGGGTCTTTCTCCAAGACTGCTGACTGGCTTCTTGTTATATTCTCATCTGGAAAAAAGAGAGTGAGACAGCTCTCTGGCCTCTTCTTGTAAGGGCATTGATCCTTTTTAATTTTTTAATTTTTAATTTTTTTTTTTTTAGTTGGAGTCTCACTCTTGTTGCCCAGGCTGGAGTGCAGTGGCACGCTTATGACCACCGTAGCCTTGACCTGCTGGGCTCAGGCAATCCTTCCACCTCAGCGTTCTAAGTAGTCAGAACTACAGGAGCACACTACCACACCCAGCTAATTTTTTTTTTTTTCCGAGTTGGAGTCTCACTCTCACCCAGACTGGAGTGCAATGGCTGCTCCCAGCCACCGCAGCCTCGACCTGCTGGGCTCCGGCGATCCTTCCGCCACGGCCTTCCAAGTAGCCTGAACTACAGGCACGCGCTACCACGCCCGGCTAATTTTTTTTTTTATTGCAGAGATGAGATCTCGCCAAGTTGCCCAGGCGGGTTTCGAACCCACGGGCTCAGGCAATCCACTCACCTCGGCCTCCCAAAGCACAGGATTACTGGCTGAGCCACCAAGCCTGGCACTAATTTTTTATTTATTGTAGAGATCAGGTCTCGCCAAGTTACCCAGACTTGTCTCGAACCCGTGGACTCAGACAATCCTCTCACCTCCTCTCACCTCAGCCTCCCAAAATGCTGGGGATTATAGGCATGAACCACTGCTCCCGGCCTAGGGCACTGATTCTTTTCAGGAAGGCTTCACCCTCATGAACATCCTCCTTCCTCCCAATACTATCGTGTTGGGAGGAAGGACTTGAACATGGTGGTTAGAGAGGAAACAGACATTCGATTCATGCAGGTGTGTCTTCTATTCTTTTTCCACTCCCTTCTCTGCTCTTTGGGGGAAGGAAAAAGAATAGACAGGGGAGTGAAGGTCTTGAATTCAAAAAGAGAAACCAAACAATGACACCTTCAAATTGGTAGAGGGTGAGGCCTCTATTAAAATACTCTTTTCTGACGTCTTGGGAAAATCTCATTCTCTGGTTCCAAAATGGAATGTATTTAAGGAAGGCTCAGTCAGCAGGCCAAGAGAGGAAGCCCTTCTCTGATGACTCCCTGCAACCTGGGCCTGATCCTTGAGCCCACCCTGCCTTTGCTAATTTTCTTCCCAGCTGCACTGTAGGGCTCTACTGCAACCCCTCTCGCTTGATCGTGTGAGACTGGAAAAGGAACTGTTGTTTTTTATTTACAAAGTGATAGTAGTGGAGAAAGGCCTTTTTAACCTTTGACCCCATTCTCTCTCTAGCAACCAAATAGCCACTCTTTCCCCAGTGAGCACGGGCTAGACCTCTTAGATTCTACAGAACTGGACATTGAGGTGAGTGTCTCCAGAGCGGAGTTGTGTGTCCTTGGGAAATGTTAGGCAACCCATGTACCCATCACATTGATGGAAAGATCACAGCCTATGGGTGGTCCTCTCAGCTGTCTCTGGAGCTTTGAGAGTAGCCCAGGGGAATAGGCAACCCTGCAGTTATATGTTTGCTCTTTGGTCTGTTGCTGTGTCCTGTGTATTCCTTTTATCTTTCTCATTGCAGGATTTTTGACATGACCCTGGGCCCCTCCCCATCTTGGAAAAGGCAAAGAGAAAAGGAGAAACATCAGTCAAGCATTTATTCCAGGCCCCAGCCCTGGCCTCAGAGGGAAAGGAGAGGGAGGTGGGCATTGCCTTTCTAACCTAACCTTTTTCTCTGGCAGTGTTGGAGTAGATAAGTTATGATACTCTATCTTCCCTAATGCACTATGATTCTGTTTCTTTGCTTTTTCCTACTGTGTATAGGGTGAGGGTGTCACCTCAGCTTTGGAGAGGGGCATAGCCTCCCTATGTTTAATGGAAAGAGCCCATAGTTTCCTGTATTTTTGGAGCATCTTTTTTCTCAGCCTCTTTTGTGCCCTAGCGATTTGCTCAATAAACATGTTTGAATCAGCCAGTTCCCAGGGTGTGACTTGAGATCATTAAACTGATGGAGGTCAGGTTTTTTGTCTGCCTAGCATCATGGCCCAGTTTACAGGTGTCCCACACCCACAGGTACTTGTCTACAGGCTCTCAAGGAAGTATTGCTTAGTTAATTGAGAGATAGGTTAGGGCTGAGGAGTAAGGGAGAGGTTGGCTGCCTTTGAGAAGTTTATCTAGCTCTTACCACCACTTCTGCAGAAGTGAAGGAAGATAGTGTACTGACAGGCTAGAGGGTGGAATAAGACCTCGTGAAACTGTCTCACTCACTTGGGCCAGGTCATATATCCCAACAGCCTTCGCCCAAGCGTCCTTTCCACGGGTAGTTTCATTCCCTCATCCCAAAGACACCCATCATAATTTGGAATTTGATAGAATCACAGTATCTGAGAGAGTTAGAAGGAAACTGAGAAGTTACTCCAAACGTCCAGCCTTATCCAAATGCTTGGACAACACCACCTTCACCCGTGCTTTCCCCAGCTAGTTCTCAACCAAGTTCTGTAAAGGTGTTCTCCAAAACGATGTCTCTGGTCTGTGTCTTTCTCTCACTACACTGCCACAAAACAGCCTTAAGAGTCTGCCTCCTTGAAACTCGGACTTGTTGGTTCTTGTTCTGCCTTGTTCTCTCTTGTCCCTCTGATAAGCGATCAAATATTTGAGGAGAGCTATTGTCACTTTCTACTTTCACTGCTTTCTTCTGTGGCTTAAGAAACCCTTCAGCCTCTCCTTTTAGATACGTTTTTCCTATTCTTCTCCGTCCTGGGCACCTGATTTAGGTTCTCAGTGTAGTAGTCACCCAGACTGAATACAACCATCCAGCTAGCAGTCTGTACAGAAAGAACTTTGACTTCCTATGATCAGCCACTCAGCCAAAACCTCCTCTCCCTCCTTCCTCCCCCCCCACTCTCCCTCCCTCACTGCCCCTCCCAGGTAAGAGCTAGAAGAAGTTGGGTTGAGTCTTTTGCAGAGACTGTCCTGGGGCAGAGAGTGTGGCCAACTCATTCTGGTGGAACAGCTCCAGGGGGGAGGAGTCTGTTTCAGTGGGATCTGGGAACAGAGTGGGAAAACTGAGGTGAAGATATAGAGCTCACTAAGAATCCAGGAGGAAGATTTTTGAGTTATTTAAATGCCATCCAAACCAAGGGCACTTCACAAGGGTAAAAGAGAAAATTGGCCTTGTGTAAATGTGGACATCTGTGTACAACCAGGCAGCTTTATTGTGGTAGACTGAGCTGCAACCTTAGAATCTGTGGACGTTTTATACCAAGTTTCTCAATTTTTTTGACACTCTTTCTTTTTTTTTCTTGTTTCTTTTTTGCGTTGGAGTCTCAGCCCAGGCTGGGGTGCATTTGCATGCTCACGGATACCGCAGCCTTGACTTGCTGGGCTCTGGCAATTCTTCCATCTCAGCTTTCCAAGTTACTGGAACTACAGGTGCAGGCCACCATGCCTGACTCATTTTTTTATTTAATGTAGAGACGGGTTCTCACCAAATTGCCCAGGCTGGTCTTGAACCCCTAGGCTCAGGCAACCTCGCCTCAGCCTCCCAAAATGCTGGGATTACAGCCATGAGTGAGCACCATGCCCGGCACTTTTGACATTCTTTATGTAAAGATTGGGACTAGGTCCTTCACCTTCAAATATGGGCTCTGTAATTGCGTGACTAATAGAATATGATAGAAATTATGCCATACTAGTTTGTGGGCCCAGATTTTAGGGAAGTTAGCAATTTCCACTTCCTGTTTCTTGAGATGTTCACTCTTGGAACCCAGTACCATGCTACGAGAAAGCCTGAGCAACTGCAGGAAATGGCTGTGTGTAAGTGTTCCTGCCAGAAGCCCTTGCTGAGGTCCTGGCCAAGATCTGCATCAGCCACCAGACACAGTCCAGACGGGAGTCCGATGCTTCCAACCTCAGCTTGTAAGTTTTCCCAGATGAGGCCCAGGCATCTGGGAACAGAGACAAGCCATCTTTTCTGTGCCCTTTCCAAATTCCTAATCCATAGAATCCATGAGCATAATGAGATGGTGGTTGTTTTTGCCGCCAAATTCGGAGTGGTTTGTTAGGTAGCCATAGTTACTGGAACAGAGCCTTAGGGTCATAAGACTCCAAAAGTCTGAGCGTCTGTATCGGCTAAAAAAAGTATGTATGGATTTCTTAAATATTTACTGCTAATTTTGATACATCATAATGCACATTTAAAATGCAATGGAGGAGCTGGGCTCGGTGGCTCAGCCTGTAATCCCGCGCCTTTGGGAGGCTGAGGTGAGTGGATTGCCTGAGCCCGCGGGTTCGACACCCGCCTGGGCAGCGAGACCTCATCTCTACAATAAATCAAAAAATCAGCTGGGCGTGGTAGTGCGCACCTGTAATTCCGGCTACTTGGAAGGCTGAGGCGGAAGGATTGCCAGAGCCCAGCAGGTCGAGGCTGCGGTGGCCGGGAGCGGCCACTGCACTCCAGTCTGGGCGACAGAGTGAGACTCCAACTCAAAAAAAATAAAATAAAATAAAATGCAATGGAGGGGTTAGTGATTAAGCGAGTGTTTTTAAATATTTTATTGGCTAACAGTACAAAATAACTTTTTGCTCCAGAAAAGTGCTTTAGTAAAAGCAAAGGGAGAAGCATTTTAAAAATCATGGTTTAACATTTTTTGAAGTTCTAGTTGAAAGTTCAGTTTATTTTGACACTTAGTTTTAATGACCTTCATAGCTGAAAAGAGTACCTCTCAAAAACATGCACACTAAATGGAATAAATACCTTTTTGCATTTACTGTTTTTTAAAACAGATTAATTCAAAACCTATTAAAGTTCTTCATTTGGAAGACTTGTAAGCACATCAGAAAATGATTTTGAAGTGCAGATAACTGTTCTTAGAGGGGACACACATTGTTTGGGAACACAAAACTGGTATATACTGGAGCATGTAAACTGTAGTCTGTGGTGATAAGCTGTGGGTTTGCCTCTCTTTCTTCAGGACACTGATCTTATTAGATCTTACTAGGGGTGAACCATGACAGTTAGATCCCAGGGGCACCAATGTCACCTAATAGTAATAAAACTCAACTTCTAGCAAGGCTCAGTGGCTCAGCCTGTAATCCCGCATCTTTGGGAGGCTGAGGTGAGTGGATTGCCTGAGTCCACGGGTTCGAGACCCGCCTGGGCAGGCGAGACCTCATCTCTACAATAAATCAAAAAATTAGCCAGGCGTGGTAGCGCGCGCCTGTAGTTTCAGCTACTTGGAAGGCTGAGGCGGAAGGATCGCCGGAGCCCAGCAGGTCGAGGCTGCGGTGGCCGGGAATC